TTTGCCGCCCCTGAAAGAGCAGCAAAATGCCGCTCCTTTCAGGGGCGGAAAAAAGCCGCCCTAAGAGTCAGTGCACAGCTCTTCAGCTGACTTTCCGGCACAGCGTGTTTGAATGCTGTGGCGGAAGGGCATCCTAATGCTGTGCGCCATGCGTAACGGTGTGCGGCGTCAAGACAGCATGGGCATAGAGTTGGGGCCGCCAGCGTGCACCTGCCCTGCCTCATCTCTGTCTCCAGGCTGGCCCTTTAGGCTGGTCGGTAGAGACCTTAATACAGGGGTAGGCAACCTTTCCCCTTTAAGGGCCGAGGGACTTCAGCTCCCAGAAGCCTCAGCCATGTTGGCCAATAGCTCCTGGGATTCTGGGAGCTGAAGTCCCTCAGCCGTTAAAGGGGAAAGGTTGCCTACCCCTGCCTTAATACAAGACGTAAAGTGGGGAACTACATGATAAACTAGTCAGCTATTTGTACAGTATTGTCATTTTTTGCACCAGGGATGGGGAAAGTACAGCCCTGGAGCCCCATGTGGCCCTAAGGTTGGTTTTGTGGCCCTTGACTCCTTCTGACTTTCCAGACTACCCTTTTTAGGACCCCAAAGAATTGTGTCTTCTTGAAGCCTCCAGGATCCAGTAATTCACCGAAATTTGCTGCTGGTTTCTATTGCACTAAGATTTATTTTTTTTAAATATCAGATTCTCAAAAACACTTTGAGAACCTTCCAAGAAACTGAGAAAGTAGAAGCTTTCCAAACATTTCTTAATTTTCAAAATAAATTGCTTGGCATTTTTGGCAACTCATGAGGCTCCCAGGGAGTCCCAGGGACAGAAAACTAACCTCTAGATGTGCTGCAGTTGCCCAGCTCTAGCTTATACACTTGTGATATCTATTATCGATGTGCCTTCAAGTCGCCTGTTGACTTATGGCAGCCTCATGATTTTCACGGGATCTTCTTAGGCAAGGAATACTCAAAGGTGGTTTTGCCAGTTCCTTCCTCTGAAATATAGCCTACAGCACCTGATATTCCTTGGCAGTCTCCCATCCAAGTAGTAACCAGGGCTGACCCTGCTTAGTTTCCAATCTAGTGTCTTTAGGGTATTTAGGCACTTGTGAAGGAGGTATTATTTACTCTCTAGGTGTCTGGAATTAGCAACCAGGTAGTGGAATGGGTAGAGAAGAGATATCACTACAGCAATGCATTTTCTGCTTTACTATTTTTGTGGATGGATGTGTGTGGGGGGGGGGGAGTGTTTCATTTTTTGCACATTAAAATAACCTCATTGATAACTGCAGAGCACTCACTTGAATGGGTGTCCGTCATCGGTTTTCTGCACAGCTTGTAGGACTGACTTGTAGATTCTGAAGCTGATGGTGGCAGAGAGAGCTGCTAGTGCCAGGTAAGCAATCACACTGACGACACTGAATTGAGTCAAGGAGAAAAGCAACAGCAGGATGCTTCCAAAGACGATGCCTGTCTGCTTGATGTCACGCCAGTACAACAGGTCAATAGCTGGAAGGAGGAAAGGCAAAAATCAATAAAGGCAGACTTTGGAATG